TTAATTTTCTGACAAATCACGCATTCTCTGCCCCTCCTGAGCTCCACTTCCACGTCACATTTTCGCCGATCCAGCTCAACTCACCAGAGAACGATCTCGTCAGTGTTTCTTGACCTAAAATATGTATCGTTTAAGTTTTGTCATATTTTCTCTCATTTATTTTATAAAAAAAATTAGATTTTAAAAAAAAAAAATTATGAGTGAATGTATTTTGTACTTTGCATATTAATAATAGTTTTAGCGTTTTATTTTCAAATATTTGTTAGCATGAATCAAATGTGGATGTTACATTAATAATAAAAATTGACATTCATATATATATATATATATGAATTAACTTTATGGGGATGTTTAATTTGTTACAATAAATAAGTTTGTCTCAATTTTTTTTTTTAATTCCAATTTTCAAACATTTTTTAATCGGAGGGAATTATTTTAAATTGAACTAATATATGTACATGGGTGTGTGTATAGCCATTGACCTATACATACATAGTTGTAAATTTGTAATGTTAATCACCTAAAAAAATGAAGTGTAAATAATTTGTACAAAGAAGTTTTTTTTTTCCTTGGGTTGTATTTAATTATAATAATTAAATTATAGTACTAGAAAAATATAGTTTACTAATTATAGATAATAAGTATTACAACAGTTTCTAATTAGGAAACTAAATTTCTCAATTAGGAAAGTGGCACCCACAAAAAGGAAATTAAGTGGGATAAATAACATCACATTTTTTTTTTTAATAAATGATAAAGAAAATGGAAAGTAAGTCTGCAGGTTGACTTTTTCTGGTTTTGAATTGAATTTTTAATGCACGATGTTGACTTTCAAAATCCAGGCTGGGTTTAGAGTTATAGCCGTATAGGTGTAATTAATTAATTATGGGATCCAATATTTGGATTATTTTATTTTAATTTTTTAACAAGAGTATTAATTAATTAACATATTATAAATATTTTAAAAATTAAACAATTATTTATCTAAAATACCCGATAATTATAAAAAAAATAAATAAATATTTTTGAAAAAAAAAAAATTAACTTATAAATATATATATATAATAAATGAGATTAGGAGGAGTCAAAATTTAAGTTAACAGTGATGGGCTGGATTTATAGCACGTGGAAAGTGTGGGTTTTTACCATCTATTTCCGGCCCATTTATTACTAATTTTCGAGTTTTTTTTTTAAATATTTCTATTTTTATTTTCGGAAAATAATTTTCTGATTTTATCAACATAGACAAAAAAAAAAGGAGTAGATATTTTTAACAATTTTTACAATAATTTTAAT